AGTGGAACCACAGCCCAGCGGGGCCTGGAGGCAGGAGGTGGCAGGCAGGGAAATGCAGCAGAACATCTAAGGCCCTGAGAAGAAGCCGAGGTAAGACTCTCAGGGAAATTAAGGCATTGAAAAGCACCTGTGCATACACTTGAAGAGCCCACAGCTAACTTTATACTCAATGACAAAAGCCTGAAAGCTTTTCCTCTAAGATCAGGAGCAAGACAAGCATGCCCACTTCACCACTCTATTCAGCACAGTACTGGAAGTCCTAGTCCAGCAATTAAGCAAGAAGAAGGAATAGAAGGCATTCAAATTGAAAAGGAAATTAATGATCTCTGTTCACAGACAACATGATCTTATATGTAGAAAATCCTGAAGATTCCACAAAATCATTGTCAGAACTCATAAATAAATTCAGAAAAGTTGCAGGATACAAAATCAACACACAGCCCTGGCCGGTTTGGCTCAGCAGTTAGAGCGTCGGCCTGCGGTCCTGAGAGACCCGGGTTCAGTTCCCGCTAAGGGCGCGTACCTCGGTTGCAGTTTGTCCCCGGCCCTGGTCGGTTGTGCGGGTGGCAGGCACTCGATGTGTCCCTTTAATGTCGATGTTTCTCTCTCTCTCTCTGTTCCTCTCTCTCCTTCCCACTCTACCTGAACAAAAAATGGAAAAATGTCCTCAGGTGAGGATAAAAAACAAAACAAAATCAACACACAAAAATTAGCTGTGCTTCTATACACTTAATAATAAACAATTTAAAAAGGAAATTAAGAAAAATCCATTTACAATAGTACAAAATATATACATTTAGGAATAATTTTAACCATGAGGTGAAAGATTTGTACACTGAAGACTACAAAACATTGCTGAAAGACATTTTTTAAAGATTCAAGTACATGGAAAGACATCCTATGTTCATGGATTAGAAGATATAATATTGTTAAAATGTCAATACTATCCAAAGCAATCTACAGATTTGGTACAATACCTATCAAACTCCTAATGATCTCTTTTGTAGAAATTGAAAAATCCATCCCAAATTTAGATAGAATTTCAAGGGACCCTGAATAGTGAGAACATTAAAAAAAAGGGGGGGGGGGGGCAAAGCTTCCTGATTTCAAAACTTACTACAAAGCTACAGTAATCAAAACAGTATGGTGGGAGTGTAACGATAGACATATATACCAATGGAACGAATGGAACGGAACGGAACGGAATGGAATAGAATAGAACCCAGAAATAAACCCCTACATATATGGCCAAATGATTTTCAACAAGAGTACCAAGACCATTAAATAGGAACAATCTTTTAATCAATAATGTTGGGAGATTTCAACACATTTCTTTTTGTAAATGATTCAAAAAGCAAACCAAAAATTCATTAAGTATATGAAAGATTTTAAAGGACAATAAAAAACATGCCTAATGAAACATACATGGACAGCGCCTCCCCCAACTGCAGAATACACATAATTTTCAAGCATCCAAGGAGGATTTGTAAAAACTGACCATATAAATACAAAACCATAAAGCAAGTCCCAACTTTCAAAGGGTTAAATCATTTGGAATATTTTCTCTTACCACAATACAATTAATCCACAAATTGATGTTTTAAAAGATAACTAGAACAAATTAAATGGAGCAACATTGTGTATTCATAGATAGGTAGGTTCAATGTTGTCGACATGTCAGTTCTTCCCAACTTGTTCTGTAGGTTCAAGGCAATTCCAATAAAAAGCCCAGCAAGTTATTTTGTGGATATCAACAAACTACTACTGAAGTGTATATGGATCAGCAAAACACCCAGCATAGGCAACGCAATGTTGAAGGAAAAGAACTAAGTTTGAAGACTGACACTCCCCAACTTCAAGACTTCCTATAAAACTACAGTAATCAAGACAGTGTGATATTGGTGAGAAATCAATAGATCAATAGAACAGAATAGAAAGCCCCAAAATAGTCCCACATAAATATAATCAACTGATCTTTGACAAAGGCGCAAAGGCAATGCCATTATACTGCAACGACAGTCTTTCAGTCTTTCCAACACATGGTGCTGGAACAACTGCACATCCACATGCAAAAAAAAAAAAAAAAAAAAAAGAATCTAGACACAGACCTTACTCCTCTCACAAAAATTAATTGAAAATGGATTACAGAACTGTAAAACTCCTAGAGGATAACATACGAGGAACTTTAGATGGCCTTGGGTATGGATATGACTTTTTAGATCCAACACCAAAGACACAATCCATGAAAGAAAAAACAATGAGAAGCTGGACTTCCTGGAAATGAAAACCAGCTGCTCTGCAACAGACGGTGTCAGGTATGAGAAGACAAGCCACACACTGGGAGGACATATGTGCAAAAGACACACCTGATAAAAGACTGTTATCCAAAATATGCAAGTAACTGTGAAAATTCAACATTAAGAAAACAAGTAGCTATAATAATCAAGTATTATGGTGGAAATTAAAAAAAAAATACAAAAACTGTGGGATCAGCTGTCTTCCTCTGAGTACACTGGAGAACTTGGTAAAAAAATAAATAAATAAAATGTATGACAAGTTTAGAACTGTACATTCTCAGCTGAGTGGATGGGTAGAAAGCCAGAAAACACAACTGCCCAGAGGAAATCCCTTATTTTATATAACACAATTCTGGATTTCTGAAAATCAGACCCACCGTCTGTTCCTGTGGTTAACCTAACTACATACAAGCTAAATCATAGCCTTGCTTATTGTATAATTAAAGTCATAGAGTTGATAGAGAAAGACTTGGAATTTGAGAATTGTAACAGAAATTTGAGAATTGTAAACATGTACCAGAGGGTATGAAATAAATCCCTCAACAAATAAGATGGCGGGTTCAGGAGCCACAAGGCTACCCGGCCCCCAGGCACTCAGCGCGCGCCCACCCCGCTGCCGCGATGCCCAAGAGGAAGGTTAGCTCCACCGAGGGGGCGGCCAAGGAGGAGCCCAAGAGGAGGTCGGCGAGGTTGTCCAGCAAACCTGCTCCTGCAAAAGTGGAAAGGAAGCCAAAAAAGGCGGCGGGAAAGGAAAGATCTGCAGACAAGAAAGTGCACACGAAAGGGAACAGGGGAGCAGAGGGAAAGCAGGCCGAAGTGGCTGACCAGGAACCTAAAGATCTACCCGCGGAAAATGGAGAAACTAAAAACGAGAGTCCAGCCTCAGAGGAAGCAGGAGAGAAAGAAGCCAAGTCTGACTGATATCATGTACCATGTCTTATCAGTGGTCCCTGTCTCCCTTCTTGTACAATCCAGAGGAATATTTTTATCAACTATTTTGTAAATGCAAGTTTTTTTAGTAGCTCTAGAAACATTTTTAAGAAGGAGGGAATTCTACCTTATCCCATTTTTTTAAGTGTAAATGCTTTTTTTTAAGAGGTGAAATCATTTGCTGGTTGTTTATTTTTTGGTACAACCAGAAATAGTGGGATATTGAATATGGGAGGCTTTGATTGTCTTGGGTGTCAGCTTAACATTCCATAGCTGGGGGAGGTTTTTATATCCTGTAATACAAGCATACTACATGGCAGTTTGGAGTCAGTTGTGCATTTAATATGTCTTGAACATTTTAAATTACTTCTATTGCCATGTTTTTGGTATAATTGTTTCCTAAAGAAACCACTCCTTGATCTTGGCTCTCCCTGTCAGAAGTCCGTACACTCTGGAACATCTTTGGTGTGGTGGTCCAGTTTTCCTAGTAACCTTGTTAATGTGCTGTGAAAGATTGAAAATTTGATTATGTAGTATATATGATATTAAATTGTGAATTAGTGGGACTTTGATGTAACAGCGTATCAACATTTGAAGATATTGGTACTTGATACTCTTGAGGAAAATTAGCCTTCAAGTTTTAAGCTGGAAAGTCACTGGAATAACAGTTTAGAAAAGAATCACAACTACATGACTTTACATTTTTGGTACATATGTTAAGAATTGTGTACAAATTGAAATGTCTGTGTACTTATCCTCAAAACAAACAATAAAATCTCAATTATGAAAGAAAAAAAAAAGATGGCTACCACCTTAGTGAAAGTCCTTGCTCCCAGGAGTCTCTAGCACATTTAGCATTACTCCCCGCCCCCCCCGCCAAGTGAAGGATAGTTGTTGCATCTGGCATGTCTAATCACAATGGAAGAAGCACAACACCTTTGGGTTTTGGAGGCAAGGGACACCTCGGTAGGCTTCTGTTCACTGAGTAACGCATAAGGCTGCCACAGGGGGGCAGTGTGGGGTCTCGGAAAGTTCCTGGGCTTCAAACGGGTGTGGTTGACCTTGAGTCTATTTTCTCATACATCTAAAGGTAACAAAAATTTATTCCTAAGATTATGGTGACTATGAAATGAGCTAACATGTGATAGGCCTTTAAAGCACGCATCATCAGATGCTGTCTGCAGTCTGCACCACCTTGCAATTTGATGGCAGTCAGGATAAAATACTGGCAAAGTGGCCACTTCCCCTGCAAAATGACACCCAGAGGAGAGGCCAGTGGAGCCTGAGATCTACCCAGCTTCCACCTGGTGCTGTCTACAGCACAGCTCTGTGTCCAGCAAACCACTGGGCGAGGTGCGCACTGACTCCCTGAGCTCCCAAACTCTGCAAGGACGAGTGACGTTTATTCTGAGCTCATCCCACTCCATTGCTGAGACGCAGATTGCTCACTTCCCTGATGCGACATGTCACATTTAGAGCACGTGTCACATTTAGAACACCAGAGGGCAGCCACTCCTCACAGTCGGCGGTACAGGGCTGGGGAACACAGCAGCTAAACCAAGGGGAAATGGGCCAGTCCCCCCACCCCCCACCCCCTTTTCTCCCTTCTCCTCAGCTTGCTCCACACATCAGGATGGTGTGGCTCTGAAAACAAAGACCTGTGCTTGACACTCAACTCAACTGCTTACCTCCTATGACCTTGGACAAGTGATCTCGCCTCTCCAAGCCACAGTTTGCTCATCTGGAAAAATAGGGTACAAAAATAGTACCTACCTCGTGGGATAGCTGGAACAAGTGAGATGATGGGGGTGAACTGCCATCGTCCAAATGTTAGCTGTTCTCAGGCATCCTAATGGTTCATCTACTTTGATTCTCAGCTGAGTCCTGGCAGGAAGAGTAAGTAAACATGATTCTCGGTTTTCAGATAAAGAAATTGAGGCACCGAGGAGTTTAATGACCTGCAGAATCATGATGATAACAGTAGTTTCATTTTCCACTCTTCTCCCTCAACCATTTGACAGTGATGGACTCTGACCTTAAAAGACTTACTTTTAACTCTTTTTAGATTCTGGGATTCTGAGGCCCAGAGAAGGCAAATACTTTACTGAAGGCTACACAGTGAGCCAATGGCTAATCCAGGACCCAATGAGCCAGTCCAGTGGGCTTCGAGTTCGATTCCCAGGCAGTTGCCCGAGACACCCTGTGAAACGCTGCCTCATTATTCTGCTCGTGATTGTTTACGGGGGGATCCCAGCCATGAGCCTTGCCTCCCGATCTAGACTGTGAGCTAAAAGGGAAAAAAATTCTCAAGGAATACATATTACTCCTTCTTTTGGGGGGGAGGTTTTTATTGATTTGAGAGAGAGAGGAAGGGAGAGGAAGAGAGAGAAACATCGATGAGAGAGAACATCAATGGGCCGCCTCCTGCATGCCCCCCCACTGGGGATTTGGCCCACAACCTGGGCATGTGCCCTGACTGGGAATTGAACTGGTGACCTCATGGTGCATGGGTCTATGCTCAACCACTGAGCCACACTGGTTGGGCTCAAGGAATACGTATCACTGTGGGAACACATCTGTGACATGTTGCTGGATGAAACGGGACCCACAGAACAGTGAGCCGGGACTCCAGTGTGCATCAGTGCATGTGCACAGAGGGAAAATGTCTTAATGCGCAGAGGTAAAAATGCTTATCTCTGGGTCGTGGAATTACACAAGCATTTTGTATTTTCCTTTGCATTTTTGTATGTTTCTAGATTTATCCAATAAACGTGTTTTACATCTATGATCCTAGCAAATGCTTGTGTACGTGTGTTATACTTTTTCAACTGTCTACTTTAAAAATTAAAACTACACTAAGAGTCAGGGATCTTGAGCTGTCCTCCCCATTCATTATGGTGGCTTTGCAGGAGCCTTTTAACCTCTGCGAGCTTCAGTTTCTCCACCTGAATGCAGACAGAATGACCCCTGGCCCCTCCACCCAGAGGCTCAAACCTTCCTGGCCCGGCGCCCCAGGCAGCTCCCTCCCCCCCTCAGCCTTGTCGCCAGGCAGTGGCAGTCCTCGCCTGTGTCTCCAGTCCTCATTCTGTTCATTAATGCAGCCTCGGGCTTTTGCCCCCTCTTTCCACACTGGAATCTAGGGGTCACTGTCAGCCCCCTCACTGCCAAAACCAACGGCCCTCAAAATGTCTTTCTCTCCAGTTGTCTCCCTCTCCCTCTCCAAACCCTGCTCGGTTCCCCAGCAGGGGCTCTCCTGGCTGCCCCCTCCTCCTGGAAGCCCACCTTCCTTCTCCCTCTCCGACCAGGGCTCGCCTCAGCTCCCTCAGCCCTCCCTTGCCACAAGGAGTCGTCCCAGGAGGTTAACTCATCTCTGGAGTATTTCTCTGAACGACCCTCCTCTGCAGACCCCAGGAAGGCGCACGGCCTCTCCACGCCCACCCCCCACAGCCCCTCCACGGAGAGTTGTGCCCACCTTCCTGCAACACACCCGGCCTTCCTTCCGAGACTCTGCCCGGTTTCCTGCTTCCCTCAGGGCTCTCATCCTGGACCCCCACACCTCTCGCCGGCGTGGACTCCCCACTGGTGCCCCCGCCTTCACCCTCTTCCCTCCAGCCCAGCCGTGCACACAGCTTACATCGCCAGTGTCATCATAACGGTGGCTGAGCCCTCACCAAGTGTCAGGCATCCAGGGCTTTCTCGTGTCCTCGCGTATTCATGTTTTCCTCACAACAACACTATAAGGGAAATATTACTTTTATCTCCATTTCAAGGACAAGAAAAGGGAGTACAGGATGTAAATGACCCTCTCCTGTGTGGGTAAGTACACGGTCACTGAAATATTGGAGCTGAGGTTTGGACATAGATCGTCTCATCTGGCTGAAGAGCGTCTGCCCTAACCATTCTGCTACCCTGCTGATTTGCCTGTTATGCCAGAAACAGCTGCAGGGTAAAGTCCACACTTTTCCACCTGCCTCTCAGGACCCACCTGTATAGCTCAAACACACTCTTTCAGTCCTACTGCCCACTGTGCCCAGTCGGTGCCTTCCCAGCCCCCATCCTGACTGCACCCCTCACCTGCCCACTTCACAGTTAACCCATGTCCTGCGGCCACTCGTGCCTGACAGGCTCACCCCCATCTCCATATACTGGACCCTCCCGTCCTCCAAGGCCGGCTCAGCTGCCTCTTCCTCCCTGCGAGCAGGCCAAGCTGAACGCAGCCCTGATGGGAGACAGGTGGCAGAGCACGTGGTCCCTGACCTTCCGGAGGGAAGTGGAGGATCAGGAGCCCTCACTCCAGGCCTCCACTCTCCCGCCCATAGATGGAGGGGGTGGCAGTAGATCAACTTTGGGGGCCCCTCTTCCTTAAGTCTAGGACTCTGCTCTCACGATCCTGAAATGGAGGTGACCGTGCCCTCTCGTGCCCCTTTAACATGCACAGAATGGAGAGAATGTGAGGACTGGGGAGGACTTCAGAGAAAACAGAATCCCACCCCCTCACTTTTCTGGCCGAGATGTGGAGCCCCGGGAGCTGCAGAGGCCTGGCTACCCACTGGGGAGTGGGAGGCATGAAGGACCCATCTCGACAGGTCCCCAGCCCCAGAGAAAGGCGGTGGGAGGAGCCTGGAAGGGCAAAGCTGCAGAGCCTGGTGCTCCCTCCGCCCCCACCCACTCCCTGCCAGCTCGGCCTGCCAGCTCCAGGAGGCCTCAGTAGTTTTCCACAACCAGCAGGCCTGCAGCCCAGGACATGTGCTCCCCGCTCCCCTTGCCCCCCACATTCCTCTGCACACTCAGGCAGCAAAGTGGCATTCAGGGCCCTGCGGGGCGGGGCAGGAGGGAGCCGGAGACCCGGACACATAAAGACACAGATGCTGGCTGGCACAGAAGCGATCAGGACAGGCCAGAGAGATAGCACAAATCCAGATGAGGCCCAGCCACAAACAAGCGTGCAGAGGTAATGCAGACACGAGCAAGTAAGGCTATCACACAGAGCTGCGGGCCCGGCAGATGCCGAGGCGTCTGCACCTGGAGGCTCACTCACAGACACCTGCCATCAGCCCCTGACACCCACCCTCCTCCCCTGAGCGCCCGCACTGCCTGTTCAGGTCAAACGCTGGTCTGGGAAAGAGAGAAAATTCCTGAGCTGCCCCAAGCCAGGGAGGCAGGACAGGAGCTAGACAAAACCCAGGGACCCGCCAGGCTCCCTCTGCACTGAGAAGCCGTCACTTTTTAATTCCAAAGAATTCACTGGACCGTCCATCCCCACCCTGCTCCCAGAGGCCAGGGTAAGTCTGGTTCTGCAGCACCACCCCGTCCACGTGGCCCTTTCTCCAACCCCTGGGACCCCAGCTGTTAGGGGCAGATTAGAGAGGCTTCTAGCAGCCCTTTCCCTGGTTCATTTCCCCCCCAGTCCCCTCTCCATCCCCACCTGTGCCCTCCACCTTAGCTGACTCCTCCAGGCACACACCATGTCCCTCACTCCATCTCCCAACATCAACCCATCTGTCCTCCAAGAGATGAGCGCCCCACTTCCCCCGGCTCTCCGCGCTCGGGAGCCCGGCACACGGTCCTTGGCCAGGGGGACCCTGCGGCTCGCACCTCAGCCCCCCCAGGGCTGCTCCGTGACTACCTGGTGGCCCTGCCAGGGGGCAGACTAGGGCTCCAGTCCAGCCTCGCCCTCTGCGTGTCTGGGAACCTTAGGCCAATGGCTTCAACTCTGGGGGCCTCAGTTCCCTCTTTTATTAAATGGGAGTAACGATGCCACCTGGCTCTCAAGGATTCTAGAGTTTATCAAAGGGCCTAGTTTTAACCAAGAAATGGGCGGCACGGCTTGGGTTTAGTGATTCAGCCTCTGTCAGCCTCGGTTTCCCTGTCTGGATAATGTGATAACTCTTGCTACCCTGGGGTGGTGAAAGACCCTATAGGGAGCAAATGGTTTGAATGGGGGGTCCCACCAAGGGGCCCCCCTCCTCTGCAAACACTTCGCCCTACCTCCCAGTTCCCACAGGGCTTAACTGGCCAGGAGGGATTTACCGCCCGAGAGCCTGATCCGCTGGATTGGCACAGAGGCCGCCTGTCCCACTGGGGACCCGAGGCCACAGTGCCAGCGGCCACGTTGTGCCAGCCCGACCCTGGCTGCTTCCAGGGCTGGCACCGAATTTTCTATCCCTGGGCCGGGCCCCGGGCCCAGCCCATGTTCCCCAGCTGGCTATTGGGGACCCTGGAAGCTGCAGGGCTTCTCAGGTCATACAGTTTCCATCCCAGCTCCCCACCCGCCCTCCCTCTCCCACCCCAACACCCACCGGTCCTCAGTGGGAGACAAGTCCACCCCTTCAGCTGGGCCCCTGCCCCTCCCCAAAAGAGCAGAGTCCTGGCCTCTCGCCCCCTACCCCATCCTGGGCATTCTGACAGATGACCTCAGGTTTCCCTGGAAAAGCTGTGGAACTTGGGAGAACCTCTCAGGATGAGTTCAGCCGGGGGTGTGGGTGGGCGGCCGGGGCCAGAGTGCTTCATGTTGGGCGGGCTCTGAGTGTTCCGGGTCCTGGGGGCCAGCCACGCTGTTCTGGGTCTGAGCTGGAGCCCATCCAGGTGTCATCTGGTCCAGGTGCTGGACTCTGCCAGCAGTGTTCAGAGTTTGGGTGTTGGGACCCTCTCTGGATGCTCTCGCCTAAATGCCGGCATCTTCACTGTGTTTTTGGGTGGAGTTGTGGGGGTCCCCTCGGACTGCTCTGGGTGAAGGGCCCAGGGCTTGGGGTCTTTTCTCGTGCTCCGAGTCCAGGTGTGGTCTGCTCTAGGTCAGATTGTTGGGGCTTTCTCTTTCATGGTGGTTGGAAACCCATGCGGGGTGCGTGGCCCGTGTTGGGGATCTTATGTGAATTTGGAACCTGCCATGGTGGCTGCTCAGGGTTTGTTTGGGGCCCCAGACCT